GTGGAGAAAGAGTATGTTTAAGTTGTATGTTAAAAAACTTTTGGAGAAATTGGAGAAAGGTTTTAGATGTGTTTAAATATAAAATTAATATAAATTGAGTAAAAATATGAAAGAGAAAGTATAAAATTGAGTAAAAAGAAGAGAGAATGTGTATTTTAATAATTTTATATTTTAAGAAACGGTCCGAGAAACATGGATGGAGATGGCCTAATAATCATCATCACTCACTCATATTTGTCTCCACAACGTAAGTTTTGTATGATTACATCAAATATTACATAATTGCAAATAGCGTGTAACCAACTTCAATACATAATAATCTAATTGAGTTTTAGACACACAAGTCCTTAAATCCTCTGTTTTTGGGAGAGAAGCTGAGGAAAACAGCTTTTACCCGTAGCATCTGATTGGGTCTTTACAGCCTTTGGCAGCGGATTGTCCGAGGCCGGACCGTCCACCCTTTGACAGATACTGCTGATGATATTCCTCGGCTCTGTAGAATTTCTTAGCCGGTAAAATCTCAGTCATGATCTTTCTCTCCATTTGTTGTTGGTGACGTTCCAGAGACTCGCGGGCTAGTTTCTCCTGCTCGGGTGTGTAGAAGTATATCCCAGATCGGTACTGGGTTCCCACGTCATTTCCCTGATCACAGTAAAGTCATAAGCCAAAAGTATCGAATGTAACGTAAAAGTAGGCTATCTAGAAAGCATAATGCTTACACCGAAGAAGCTTATGATAGTGACGACAACTTATCTAGAGAAATCTTAAGAGATATATATCATCAAAAGATTGGTTCAGTATATATATGCCAATGAAAGCCAGAGAAGATGTATATGTAAATTGTCCAAAAATAAGTCTCAGACTAATAATGCAACACGAGGTTAGTTTTCAGGAGTTTGTAACAACAAAGATTTGTTAAAACAATCGACTAAAAAGTAAAGGGAGCCAATCAAGTTGTTTATATATCACTGAGGACCGGCTTAGGATTTGGTATCACATATGCGATACTTTGCCTAGTATCCTTAACAAGATAACTTGACTATAATCTAGTGAATCACCTTCTCACAAAACTAGCAGCAATTTGCAAATGAGTATTGTTCTATGTCCAAATCTAACATGAAAGCCAGTGCTGAACATGAGCAGGACAAGAAGAAACTCTCTGAAACATTACCACATCTACTCCACCAACCAATCTATGAAAAGGGCTAATTTAAATCTCCATTCTCCACACTGATTAAAAGGAGAGAAACAGAGCTACAGAAGCTAGATTCTACACCAAAGTTACTTACTTAAGCCTCATAAATGTACCAAATGCAAGTTTCTAAGAGTTTAAATTAGTGACGAAACCAGAAAGCCATCAAATTTGGGTAAAAATCAATCCATCCCTAAACCTACCAGAAGCTGGATTATACAAAGATTCAACGACCAAAAGTTACATACTTAAGCCTCATAACTCAACAAAAATCCAAATCCAAAATCATTTTGGATAACCACAAAGCCAACAAATTTGGGGGAAAACAAAAAAAAAAACAAGAAATCCCTAAAGCTACAACGAGTCTCAGGCACATCAATTGAGCAAAAAAACCCAATCTCAATCTCGTACCTGGCGATTCAAGGTGGTGGGATCATGCCTAGACCAGAACAAATCAAGAAGAGACTCGTAGCTACAATCTTTGGGATCATACTGAACTCTAACAACCTCAGCATGGCTCGTGGTGCCAGAACATACATCCTCGTACGAAGGATTGTGTATGATCCCTTGAGTATACCCAACTTCGGTCTGAGTCACCCCTGGAACCCTCTGAAACGCCAGCTCTACGCCCCAGAAACATCCAGCGCCGAATTGGGCAAATTGATTTTCCGGCGCCGGAGTATCGTCGTCGATCCCTTGAGCGATCGGAGAAGGATTCATATTCGTTTGTCCACTTGATCCTAAACCCAACCTGTTGAGTATGTTCATGAAGAGAATTTCT